CCTGGACGGAGAGCGAACGTCGCCTTCCCCCCTGGAGTAACATTTTCCCAGATCGACCCGGAGGAGCAGCTGTACTGCTGTTGTGGCATGGTGGGAGGGAGGGAGGTGTTTGTGGAGGGGTGTCATCATGTTTTGTGTGACAGTGTGGCTGCTTTTCAACTTGTCACCGTCTGGCGGGGGGCTCCCCATGGGTGCAGGGCTTGGACGCTGACAGCCTCCGTGTGGAGCCGCTGGGTGAAGACAGCAGTGGGGCTCTGTACTGGTATTTCTATGGCACACGGATGTACAAGGAGGACCCAGTGCAGGCGAAAACCAATGGAGAGCTGGCTCCAGACAGGTAACGGACACTCAAATGCCCCTATGCCCAGGGCATGGTGGGAGGGGGACAGCGCAGCCAGCCTGGCCGGAGGGGGATCCGCCTGACTGCTGTTGTCACGGGAGGGGGTGGCTGGGAATGCAGGGCTGCAGCAGCACGGGGCAAGCACAAAGTTGCCAAGCAGACTGAGAGCTGTCCCGCGTGGCACAATGTGCTGGAGCCAGCCTGCAGCCTTTGTGGCACCAGCAGAGCCTGCTGCTGAGCGATGCTGCCCGCCCCACCACATTCCTCGCTGGCTGCCCCGCACCGTGCCGGCGGCTCCCAGAGCAAGCTCCCAGCAAGGGGGAAACCCTCATCTTCTTTCCCTCTCCGTCCTGTGGCTGCTCTGATTTAATCCCTCCTTTGCTTTGGTTCCTCACAGCTGTTCCAATATCCCTGCCTTTCTCTGTCCCCGCCAGCCACAGTTCCCGTGCTCAGCAGATATTTCATGGTGTTTTTGCCATTCTGCAGGGGATGTGGGGGACAGACAAATACCCCAAACGTTCCTGGGAAAACAGGCAAGAGACGAGGGCGACCCCCAAAGCGGAAAAAACTACTGGAGGAAAATTTGCTGAGGTATGGAAAGGTTCCTGCAAGAGATGTGGGATGCATGTGTTCCCAGAGGAAAGTCTCTCTGATACTTCTTGCAATTAATAATATAATGTGCTTCTGGGGTTCCCCCGGTAAGTATGTATATGTCATGCAACCATAATTTCAGTGCATCTCTGAAGTGAAGCAAGCTCAGGCTTGGTGGATGCTTTGATCACTTTCCAAAGAAAATTCTGACTGAGCTGGAAGCCAAGCTTGGTGAAACACTGGGTATCGCTCTTCCAGCTGCCTCACTTCTAATGCAGTTCCTCTGTGCAGTGTTAGGGGATATGTTCTTGATAAAGAGTACATTCACTCACTGCGCGGTGCTTGAAGCCAAAATCTTAGCCACTTGAGTCCATACACATTTTGGGGTACTTCCCTTGAGTATTGAAGTACTGCCCTTGCCCTGCATCCCTCACTTCTTCAAATTTTTCAAAGCTATGATAAATGTATATGTGCGTAGATATATATGCGTGTGTCCATAAACATATATATTTAGAATGAGTAGGTTTTTTTCCATGGTTTTTGCTCTGTGTTGAATCATTGCTGCAACCTCATTCTTCTCTTCAGAAGCAGCTGTGTTTCAGTGATGTGAAGTAATGCATTTATTGTATAACTCCTTCTCTTTCTTTTTGGTAGGGAGAAGGCAGAAGAGAACTTGCTAATCCGTGAGACTCAGATAAGAAATGGTAAAGAGATTTTTGTGGGGTCAGGGTTGATATGATCAGCTAACACAGCTTTTAAATTATCAAAGCCTGGGGAGATGCCTTTCTTGGGAAAGGGAGAGTCTGTCTGTCAGTGGTTTGACTAAGTCTGGAAGGAGGGTTAGCGTTACAGGCTGCCTTGCAGCTGGGAGCCTGGGCACCTGACTGCTTCCTATCTTATCATGGATTAGTTTGGGATGAAGAGATGTAACTTATTGGGTTACATGAGGCCTTAGGGGCCCACCTTCTCACTCAAGTTGATGGAAACGGGCTGTGAATGGCCCTTTGCCTCTCTGGGGATGAGCTGAACACAAGCCCCTGTTTGTAGCAAGCACATTTTTTCTTTCATGCCACATGAACGGACTGGGACGAGAGCAAGATCAGTGATGCCAAGACAGGAGAGGACCTCCCTGATTCTCCTTACCTCTCCCTCCTGGTGGCTGTTGGTGTCTGAGCTCAGTGCTGTTAAGTGCTAACTAGGAGATACCTACCTAAGGGTTAACGAGGCAAGCAGAAAAAGAGAGTTGGCAACATAATGTGCAACTGAGTCTGAGGGGGCCTGGGCTCATTTGTCATACATGAGAATCCCTAGGCTTCCACATAACTCACGGCTCAGCCTGCCTATTCCACCACAATAAAAGGCAACTGTGGCATTGTCTTACCGTGCCTCATTCCCTTCTGCTTTTGTGCTCAGATTTCCTGGCTGCTGCTCTGGAGTCAAGAGGCAGAGCTGAAGCTACATGCATGAGATGCTGTGGATTTTATCAGATCATTGTTTTCTGGCAAATTGTGCCACTTTAACTGTGGAGTAATCTTCTGGTGGTACAAAGCAGTGCATTGGTCCTGGCTCCTTTTGAAGCCAGTCGGCCACAGGCAGCTGGCAAGGGAAGGGAAATAAAGGGGGCAGACTCAGGGGCAGCATGCAGGTAAGCCCAGTAGAGTTGGCTGCAATAGCTTGAGGTATCACAGCCTTCGGTCCTCCTCTGCCTCCTTTGGCCCAAGGAAACAGCATCACAAAGCCAGGGTGACAGAAAGTAGTGTGAAGTTGCTCCTTTGCCATCCCAGTTACATGAACGTGAGCTGCAGCTGATGGCGAGTTCAGCTGTGTGCTGGCCTGTGACCTGGAGCTGCCATGGAGTTGAGGTGTGTGACCAAGGGCAGGGAACCAGGGGGAGGCTACAGCTCTCCAGCCTTCCTGGGGCGACCTGATTGATAGCTTGCATATGGGAGCTGCTGACAGTTCAAAACCACAGAAGGACCAAGGTCAGGTTCAGAGAGAAAGAGGCTCTGGTTTTTGCATATTTTTATTTTTTTGTTGTTAATCTGCTTGAAAATGCAGTGAGAAGCTGCATGACATCTGGTGGGGCAGCAACTGTTGCTTTTTTTCCAGTAGCCAGTCATTAGCCTGGGTTTTCTTGAAAACTCCTCAGCCCAAAAGGATTTGAGCCAGTGTCTTCCCCCTCCCCAAAAGCAGTCCACCAACTCTCTGCCTAGAGAGCATCCTTGGGCAAAAACATGCAAGTTGCAACCCATGAGGCTTCTCTGCTCTGAGTAAACATTTGTGCAGCAGGAACCGCATTGCCTCTTTCCAGGTGGGTGTTCAAACCACTGTGTGAGAGCCTTTCCTTCACCATTAATATTCAGATGTTTCACACAAAGCAGAACGGTCCCGAATGTTTTGGTAGTTGGGACATGCTTCAGAGTGGTGGGAGATCTGCTTCAGATCTGACTCTGGATCAAGCAGGGATGGGATGTGAACTTCTGCAACTTCCCCCTCATCTGGCAGCCCGATGAACCCCATCCTTCACTTCCTCTTCAGTTCTTTCAAGTGCCTGCAAACAAAATGTTTCATTTGGGTAGAATGGGAGGTTTCATTCACCGCAGCAAAGGTTTGAAGCACTAAAAAAAAAAAAAAAAAAAAAAGTTGGCTTATTTCAAATAACATTCATTTCCAGTGTTTTTATTCTGCTGCCAGACTAAATCAAGCATTTGCATTACTCCATGTCCTGCTCTGGCTGACAGCCTCTGTTACCAGAAACAAATTAAATCCTTTCCTCTGGTATGTCAGAACTGGAACTGGAGGGTGCCACGCTACCAGTACTTCTTCACCTATGTCATTCCCCTATCTTGGCATCACTTGCAGTGTCACTAGGGCAGACAACAGTACTTCCAGTGGGTCAAGAGTTTTGGGTCTACAGCAATGATTTTTTGTGCTCACTGATGGTGCATACCCTGCTAGAGTATGTTTCCCATAGCAGTGACCCTGAACAGTGTCTTTTGCTCTTCCCAAGCCCTGAGGGCAGGAGAAGAGAAGGGATAAAAGTTCTTAGTCATAACTGCTGTGGAGATAACATTCTTGCATGTTGTTGAAGGGTCCCAAGGGCCAGGCCGTGGGACATGGTGGCTGCTGTGCCAGACGGAAGAGGAATGGAGGCAGGTCACTGAGAGCTTCAGAGAGAGGACTTCCCTTAGAGAGCGGCAGCTCTACAAACTCTTGAGTGAAGACTTCCTGCCGGAGATCTGCAACATGATTGCACAGAAGGTGAGGAGGCATAACATCCTGTTTACCTCTATCTGACCACTTCCAAGAGCACGGACATTTGCTGACAGAAGGAGAGCTGACTGTGCAGACATCACCCCATCCTGCTCCCACCTCCGGACTGCAAGCACCCCGGATACAGGGGCTGTCTAGCTTACCTACAGGGAGAAAGACTCTCCCTGATGAAGTGGTAGGGCTAGAGATCTGATTCATGATTGCACATCAGCATTGGTAGGATGGCTGAAGGGGTTACTGTTTTCAGCTGTGTTCTGTGTCCCTTTCTTGCTAGCAGGGAATCTGTCTGCTTTGAACTGCTGCGATTTACTGCCTGGCTTTTCTATGCAAACTGCCTCTGATTTCACTTTTACTGCAGTTTCTCTGCTGGCTCTACTGCAGGGGCAGTTGCTGCTTTGGCTGTCCTCTTTAAGTCTGCTTGAGATAGTATGTCAGAGCCTTCAGACTCTGATGGGTACTGTCTGTTGAAGGAATGTTTTCAGATGGGTCAGAATAGAAGTGGGATCCTTCAGCTGGAAGGCTTTGTAAAACGGGCTCTGCAGTCAGCATGGTACTCTTGGACTGAGTTCAGTGTGTTTGCTACCTTTGTAAAGCTAACAGGGATTTCATGGTCACTTCTCACCCCCAGAGTTTCTCCTGCCACTGTCACTGACGTGCCCTAATTTCCTCCACTCTCTTTTTCTTTCCCTCAATTCTCAACCCTGTTTCAGGAGAAGCGTCTACAGCGGACAGAGTTTTCTCCCAGGTGGATGTCTGACCATCAGCCCATCAAACCAATCAAGCAGGAGGTGAGGGGGGGTGCGAGGGGGAGGACAACGGAGGGAGGCGAGAGCAGATGCCTCCTGGGGGAAAAAATAAACCGCAGCATCGCTATTCAGTGGGAAGGAGACGTTTGAAAAGTGCTCATGCTGAAAGAAAGATGGGTGGTAATGCCGGTCAAACGCAGGCTGACACTCGGGGTTTCTATGGCGAGCAGGGAGGTGCTGCCCTCTGGATCGCAGAGGTAAGCGGCCTTGCTGCAGACGCTGGTGCAGCTGCATATGGAAATCTGCGCTCAGCCTGGGGAATTCCACTTCAATGAAAGTGCTGGCACATTCGAGGCAGTTCAAAGAAAAGTTGAAGAAGGATGAGAGGGCTGGAAGAACTGGCTTACAAAGGGAAATGACAGAAATTCAGCCAAGGGAAAAACGTGAGGCTGCAAACACATGAGGGTGTGGATAGTGCGGAGAGAGAGAAGGACTTGATGCAGCACAGAGCTGAACTAGAGGGAATCAGATGGAAACAAAAATCACAATTTAGACTGTTTAAAGAAACGCTTGTCAGACCAGCTCAAGCAGCTCTTTCCGTACCTCCTCACCCTCATCTCCTCCACCCCATTGATGGCACAGCACTGCTGCTTGTGTGTCTGTCTGTGCAGTGAACCAGACCCAGGAAAATGACTGGAGTTAAATATAACCTTTTTCTTTGGTTGGGATTATTTTTAACGTAGATCAGTTTTCCAATTCAGTTCACCACGCAGCCCCCAACAGTCACGTTGGCACAGCCAGGGGCATGGTATGGCAGAGATGGGGGGTCTTTGAACTGGCAACTGCTGCCCGGAGAAATCAGTCAAGCAACACAGGATTAGCTTTGGAGGAAAAAAGTGGCTTGGTTCTATCAGGCTGTGGCATAATCCCTCACTGCAGATGTAATGAAAGCACAGTTATCTGGTGTTTTGTCCCAGAATGCTATCAAATGCTGGGAAATTGAATGGCAGGGAATATTCCACGTGTGTCAGTGTTTCCTGCAAAACAAAGGCAAAAGTACAGCTCCCCACAATAAATATGATTACTTAGAATACATAAAGGAAGGAAGAGCCTCTCATCGTGCTGCAGATAAAAGCGTGCAGAGGGGAAAATAAGACCCTGGTGATGGTCAGTTTAGGGCCAGCCTTGCTCTCTGCAAAGCCCCCCATCCAGGAAACGCAGGGCCACATGTTTGTTCGCAGGCAGCAGAAATCCCAGTGGAGAAGGGGAGTGGGAAACACATGGAGCCTGAATGATGCTAATCAGTACCGCAGGTGCTCCAGGTCTGCGGCTGCAGAGGGTTGTTAATTGCTGCCTGTGGGCCAGTGAAACGTTTTCCAGTGAGCGGGGGCCCTCCTAGCTCCTGCAGTGCTAGGGAGCAGGGAGCCAGGCAGCACCAGGGTGGTGAATCTCCAGACAGTGAGGGACGTGGCAGTTGTGTGTGCTGCAGGGAGCGAGGGAAGGTGCCAGCATGTCTGATGGCTTCCTGGCTGAGCAAGGGGTGGGCAGCAGGCAAACTTTGAGGAGAAAAACCCAGGTCCCTTGTGGGAGTAACCCCCTCCTCCCAGCTCCACGAGGGTGGATGCCACGTTTGTCCAAGATACAACTGCACCATAGGCTCTTAATCCTGCGGGGGTTTCTCAACAGGTGGTTCAGATTAGCTCCTCATTAAAGAGTTGCCTGAGCAGCACCCTCATTAGGGCAGTGCTGCAGAAATTGGAACAGAGAGGGTTTGAAGGGCAAGGGGCTGGGGGCATCTGTGCCTCTGGTTCCTCCTGAAGTCTGATACCCGCTGTCTGAAAGCAAAGGAAAAGATAGAAAACTTGCCTTTTGGGGGTCTGGGGGAGGCAGCAATGTTGTGTCCTGGAGTGCTCTCTGGTGGAGGGAAGGAGGTGGTGATGCCGTGGTCACAAATGTGTGAGTTGTTGTTTACACGTGAGCATGAAGCCAGAGAAATGCCCTTTTCCACCTCTTCTTTCAAGAAGAAAGTTTAAGTTGTGTTAGTTTCTTGTGATTGTCTTGCCAGTAGGTCTGTCACATCTAGTATGAGTTTAGGACCTCCTGTCTAATTTTGTTTGGCTTTGTTTTCTCTCTCTTTTTTTTTTTAAACTGAGATATGAGCCCTGTCAGCTCCGATGGGTGTAAGTGGGGCAGCAGGCAGTTGGTCCCTCTGGAAATCAAGTTATTTCTGTATCTACAGTGTCTCAAAGACCCCATCCCAGCATTGCCACTGCTGCCCTGCAAGATCTACAGGGGAGCACATGCTATGACTGTGGGCATCTGCTGCAGCCTTAGATGCCTTCTAGACTAAGTTTGTCATTCCTGCTTTTCCCTACTCTTATGAGATCTGTTAGGATGGCATTGTCTACTTTGCTTGAAACTGTCCCTCTGTTATGTGAATGCCACATTTTTGGTGGGTTGATCTGGAATGTGGTGTGAAGTTTGTATTGCACCATTACAGCTTAGAGTGCTCAATGCACCCAGCAGGCTTGGAGAGGTCCTGGTTTCACCACTGCTACTTGGATGTTGTGTTCACGTTTCTGTAGATATTGAATGATGGATGCTGTATGAATCCAGGGAAGGAGGAGGTCTTACCTGTGCACCACCTGCTCAAATCAGTGTGGCCTGCTAGGCTGGCTTAGGTCTACTGGCTAGAGAACCTAAAGGCTGATGGTCACATCCTCAATTAAATCCTTACTGTGCTGACTTCTGGTGGCTGGTTTCTGCTCTCCTCTTTCTCTTCCTAATGGCTGCAGAACACAAAGGGGTTTTTTGTGTTTCTATTATAATTTAAGGATTGGTCAAGAAATTTAGAAGAAAACTGTTTCAAGACTGTCAGGCTCAGCAGAAAATATATGTGCAGTGTATGAGTAGAGAATGGGATAGTAGAATGGTTGAGAAAGAAGTGAAAAGAATAGAAAGTGAAAATATAGAACCTAATTCTGTAAGTTCTTAATCTCTTGTAGTTGGCGTACCAGTGTTAGAACTGGGTATTCTGGTGTTTACGTATTGATTGGTAGGTGAAAGCAGCTGAGAAAAACAACAGGAATGATTAGGGAGCTGGAAGAGGATTGCTTTATACGGTAACATTTAACCTAGGTCCAGAAACAAGAAGTTTTGTGCAAGTGTCTGAGGAAGCTCATAAACACTGGAATGTGGCTGAAGAAGAGGAACGTTTATGCCAACACTGAGGAGCATAATTAGGCATAATTGGATGGAATGAGAGGATGAAAAAATTAGCTTTGAACTGAAAGTGAGGAGAACATGGCTAACCTAAACAAGCGTGGGTTCACAGAACAGTTTCCCTAGGAAATTAGCGCAAGCGTTAATTGCTAATAGCTGGCAAAATCTAAAACGGAGAAGAACATAGGCAGAATTCCCTGATGGTGAGATCCTGCTGTGAGTTTTGTTTAAAAAGATCAGCACAGACTAGGTGTTTGTGCTGTGCAGTCTGTTCCTTAATGCAGGCTAAAGTCCTGATATTGTGAAGAATCTCATACTGGATGCTTCTTTCTGTAGCTGCTGGTGGTAGAAGCATAATTCTCTTGATGTATTTCTACTGGGAACGTGGAGATAACATATGATGCTCGTTGTGGAGATCTACAGGGGGACAGTGTAGGGTAGCAGTCTGTAAGAGACGGAGAGGCAGAGAGGGAATGAATGTATGGTAAAACCAGACAACATTTCTAGGCAATTACCAAAACACTTTGAGGTTTCTCTTCTAGATAATGAAACAAGTACAAAATAGTAACCATGGTGCCAGATTTTTTTTCTGGGGATTATAATAGGCCTGGGGAGGTTGATGGTCTGAGCACCAGCCAGGGAACTCCAGCTGATTGCTAATCCTCAGGAAATGCCTTCTGCCTAAGTGATAGTTGCTGGTTAGTCACTGAAAATGAAGGTGAACAAAGCTGTATGCACATTGTTCTTTTCTAGTTGACATTCCATGCTGATCAGGCACATGTACCTTGATCTTGCATAAGTCGAAGAGTGGTTGACTGATTCATTTGTTGTTTAATTAAATTAAACCAATAAAGGTTATTCCACACTGTCGTATACATACTTCGCACTTTATTGGAGAAACAGGAGCAGGCAATTCCTGGTCTGGGAAGTGTGCAGTCTTAAGTGGGATCAAACACAGTCTTACAGCCTGCTGGGCATGGGGAGGTAAGGAAGTAGGGCAATAAAGAACCAGGCGTAGTTCAATGAGAATGCTGGCCAGGGGACTCACTAGAAAAAAACTGCCCAAATAAATGAGCAAGAGCTAGTTTAGGGGAGATTAGCATACAGAAATACAGTTTGAAACACAAAGAATACCTTGATGTAAGGCCATACTGGTCTCTTTTTCTGTCCCAAGTACTGTGTATTTTATGATAGAGTCAAGTTCAGCAGAGTAGTTTTTTCTGCTCGTTCTTGCAGCTCAAGACTCAGATAATGGAAAGAGTAGAAGGTTTTGCATAGAGATATCAACAGCCAGGATCCTTTGCTCAAAAGGGAAATCTGAATGATACATCTGATGGAGCACCAGTTTGTCTAACCAATTACTTCTCCGTCCTTTCTCCTTGGATCAGTAGGGTTTCATTGCTTGACAAATAACTTTCCTTTACATGTTGCTTTTCATTTGAGAATTCATATGCACAAATCTTTTTGTTCTTGTTGTTCCAGCCGTTCACTGTGCCTAGTACTTGTTCAAAGTAAACCTGCCTCTGCTCAGACTTGAGTAAGCCAATGCATTACATTTTTGTTGTGTACTGTTCTGTCACAGGTAAACCCAAATGTGCTCAGTTCAGTGGAGAAGCAGAGGCGCAGAGAGGAAGAAGAGGAGCGCCAAATCCTTATAGCGGTGCAGAAAAGGGAACAGGAGCAGCTGCTAAAGGAGGAGAGAAAGAGAGAGATGGAGGAGAAGGTCAAAGCAGTGGAAGGTACGTGCAGTCAGTGTAAAGCAGAGCTGGAAGATTTCAAAGCTGAGACCAAGGCCTTGAATTAAGATCTACCATTTGCATTCCTCCCCTGGCAGGCATGCTAATGGGGATGTCTTTTCTTGGACTTGGCTCAGATAAATTGGTCTGACATTAGTTTCTTTTTGCCTTGTCCTCCATCTCTGTGTTGATGACTGTTATCGTACGTGCCCTTCAGTTTTGTCTTCTACCTTTGAGTTATACTCATTTTCTCCCACCATTCATATTGTTCCTCTGCTTCTTCCTCCCATCTTCCTGCTGTGGTCCTCAAGTATTTCTCTGTGTGCAGGATTAGCTGACTTTACTCTTGCTGAACAGCCACTTGTCCTTTTAGTCTACTGCATGATGAAAGGACTCCTTTAAAGGCAAAAGGGAAGGGGATGACAGGGAGTAGCAAGAGTAGTAGTTTCATATTGCTACTGACCTCATCAGCTTGAGAACTTAAGGTAAGAGGACCAGGCTAAACTGAGCACTGGCAAGTGACAACTTAAGTTTTTTTCCACTTTGCCACAGTGACTGACTGGGCTGTTGAAGCTCCAGGGAAACACAACGTCTGCATAAAACTGTTCTCATGCTGCATGGTAGTATCAGTATAGTGAATCTTTAAATTGATAAAGAATCAGAAGGGGAGGAGAAAAAAAAGTTCATGCAAACCCCATAAACTTTCCAAGATGAAACAGTTTGCTACCAGATGTTTGGTAGCAGACCAGATGTTATCTAAGAATAGCTTCTTTTACCTGCTTACTTTCTAACCCTTTGGAATCTAATTACTTACTTGGCCTTCATATATTTCTGGTTGCCAGTCCTGGCTAATCTGGTGCTTTAAATTCAGAGTCATCCAGCCTCCAGATCTGCCAGAGACATCTGTTTCACCTTGGCATATTGCATATTCTTTGTGCTTTGATTCTTTACCTGTATAGACAAAATTAATCTTGAAGATCCTGAAGATCTGTAAAGACAAATGTAATATTCTGTTTTATTATAAGCTGTGTCAGTTTTTGGGTAAACACCACCACTATGTCATCTGATGTGAATGTACCAGAGCCAGTCAAAAAACTGGCATGGGCCTGTTCAGTAAGTTGTTTTAAGCCATTTTGCATTCATTAGTGCTTTCCTTGACCAGCATGCTTTTATTTTAGTTTGAGCAGTTTCTTTCAGTCTAGTTCAAACTTTTTCCCCAGTCAGTTTAGGCCTAGTCAAGAGAAGTCCACTTTTAAAGTGATGCAAAAGTTGTTTGGAAAGATTATTTAAATCATTTGTTCAGTTAAATCTCTTGTGTTTTTCATCCCTAGAAACGGCAGCTTTCCAGGAAAAGCTTTGGCTTCTTAACCATCTTTCCTTATTGTCAAGCACATCCTCCATTAGCATAGCACTGTGGTAGTTCTTATGATGAACAGAAAGTCATTTGAAAATGAAGTCATTTGTTTTGCTTGGCTCAGACTTTTTAAAACTGGACATCCCCTGACTGAGAGTAACAAAGATTTTATTGTGTTTTGCCTTCTTTTGTTAAATCCCAAGCGATTTTGCAAGGTCTTCTGTAGAGGGTTGATATGAAACACAGAACGGAATGTCTGTGCTCTTTGAGACTTCATCAGCACTTCACCTGGCTCTCGTTTTTGGATTCTGTGCCTGTTTTTAGATGGCTTTCCTCTTTCCAGTATGGGATTTCACTTCCTTCCGCTCCAATGCACACCCCATTTAGTGACCCTCCTGCTGGGCCCATCTGGACTTTCCTGACTTTGAGTTAAAGCAGTTTTCTAGATTTCTACCAGAACAGAATGTTAGAGTTTTCCAGTTCTCTTCCTAGATGCTGCTCAAATGTTACCTCTTGCATACATGACTTCCTAGCTGTCTGAGGTACTTTTTAGGGCATTATTTAGCTTTTGATACTTGATGAGTAGATCTCAACCCATTACAACAGCATTATGTGAACTGTATCTTTAACGTGCTGTATCATCTTTCTGTGGTACTGGGGCTGAGCTGTAGCAGAGTAGCACATACCAATTCCTGTCAAGTTTATTGTATTGGGTCCCTGATGGGCATTGATGGATTTCTAAAATCTACATGACCTTACCTCTTGGTTGCTGTTGCCGTGGAATTCTCCTTTTGCTGCTCAGGTCATTGCCATACATATTTCTCAGCTTGTTCACTTTGGCATCCGTCGTAATGTCATTTAAGTGATGTTAGTTTTACCAAAGAAGCATGCAGTACTGGACTGTGCTTGACTCTGCTAACTGTAGTTTGATGTTGGACTTCTCATTACGTGGCATAAAAGACGCTGAAAGATTCTGTAGGACGTCTTAGATGCAAGTCCTGTCCTTTCATCTTCAGAACAACCCACAGTCTGGTTATGGGAAATCTGGACTTTTTTTTTAACCAGTCTTTGATATATCTGGCCGTGGGTTTCTCTGTAAGTATCTCCCTTCAAGCTATTTCTGAACAACTGTTATCTTGTCAGAATATGCATTAAGATGAGGGACTTGTTCCTTGAGTGAAGCCATGACTTGCAGTGATGCTAATGGTGTCAGTGTGTCACTGTGACATCTCTGGTTTCTACCCGGTAGAGAAATCCACTGCTTTTTTTTTTTTTTTTATGGGGCACAAGCTATGACTGTAAACTTCTTTTCAGGGAAAAGGATGTTTTCCTCAGTATCTACAGGAAAAACATGTAAACCTTTATTTAGCAATAGAATGTCTATGGAAGTGGTGACTCTACTGTTAGAGCAAGGACTCTAAGGGCGTACGGATAGAGCTATTCTGGAGATGCCCATTTCTGGTTTTCTTGTCTGCCTGCTCTTCATCTCAAGCTTTCTTTTGGCAGAGTAAAAGAGAATATTTATACCCTTCCACCAGAGCAGGTGCCCCAGGTGTGGCCTGTTTTCTGGAGTTTTTTCTGTATCATCTCTCCTTGAGTATTTTTGCAGAAAGTTCTGCTTAAGCAGAAGGTTGATACAATTGCAGGTGTTTAGCAAGTCAAATGAATTCAGATTTGCTTTAACAAAAAGGAAATGAGGCTCATAAGAGTCCATAAACTATATATTATGAAACAGTCTGTTAGCCAGCTGTCTGGTTGCAAACCACAGGTTATATTACTAGCATTGCTTCTTCCTGTCTTTCACCTCTTAAACCACCATGCTGGAAGGCCACTGAGACAGGTTTGGTTTACTTGCCCAGGCTGTGACGGCCCACCTGAACAATCTTCCCAAAGCTAGCTCTGGTGATGGAAAATATTATTGACCCCCGCTACTCATTGCTACCCAGATGGGAAGACTTCATTCATCCTTCAGCACTGCTCTTTATCAACCTCAGGTCAAAACCAGCTGACTTGAGTTCATGTGGCTGAGGAATAATTGCTCCTTCTTGACTGCATGGGAGTAGCGGTGAACAGCTGTAGGATGGTAACTTAACAAGCCCACTCTTTCCACTGAACTGATCTGTGCCTCAGTCTGTGCTTTGAACTTCTCTCTTTGTACCATGCCATCTTCAGGAACTTTTCTGGAGGTTGGCTAGGAGAGCATCTGCATCACGGTATCGTGCCAAAATTTTTGACGGTGTAGTCAACAAAAACTGAAGAAATGTGTTTGTGGTGCATGGTATTCTATCAGTTCCTCTGCTTCTTTGCTGTTTTTACTGAAAGAACATTTCAGTGGAGCTCTTGAGAGCCACAGGAGCTGCTCTGGAAGACACTGTTGACAAGTAGTGCTGAATGGCTTCTTTGCTCACCTCCCCTTCCTGCTGCAGAACGAGCCAGGAGGAGGAAGCTTCGTGAAGAGCGGGCCTGGCTGCTGGCACAGGGAAAGGAGCTCCCACCTGAGCTTTCCCACTTGGATCCCAGTTCCCCTACCAAGGAAGAGCCAAAGGCCAAGGATCTGTGAGTATGCAGCTGTGCATGTAGTACACTTGTGCAGTGGGGAGTGTTAGGAGAGGAGGGGAGGAGTGTGATCATTCACAGAAATGAGGAGGGAGAAATGAGGTTGGAGAGCAGCAAGAAATAAGCTGAGAAACATCTGGATTTGTTCCATGCTAGAGGAGTGTTTGTGATGTGGCCTGTTAACATCATGGCGCTGCGTGTGGTGTGGAAGGGAAGATGAGGTAAAAGGAAATGCCTCGTGTGTCCTAAGTCTGTATTCACTGTTGTTTTTTCGATTACAGCTTTGAACTGGATGATGAGTTCACAGCCATGTATAAAGGTTAGTCATCCTGTCCCACTTTTCTTCTTTAAATGATTCCCCTGGGCATGTGTGTCTAACAATTGCCTGTCTTTTGTGACTACCAGTTCTAGATGTGGTAAAGGCACACAAGGATTCTTGGCCTTTTTTGGAACCTGTTGATGAGTCATATGCTCCCAACTACTACCAGATCATTAAGGTAGGGAAGATAATCCAGCTTGCCTGACTGATGCTCTTTGTTGACTGAGGTGTGATTATTTATTTGTGCTTTGAAGTTCTGTGGGCTGTGTTATCCTCAAAGTCAAATTCCAGGAGTTCCTTTGGGTCTAGGAAATGCATGATGAGAGTATCTGCTCTGCGTGCCCTTCTGTGAAGAAGCTTGTAATTTATGTAACGCTGTAAGTCCCACTGCACTCACTGTAACTTTTGTTGCATTTCAGGCCCCCATGGACATCTCTAGCATGGAGAAGAAGTTGAATGGAGGTCAGTACTGCACCAAGGAAGAATTTGTGGGCGATATGAAGACCATGTTCAGGAACTGTCTTAAGTACAATGGTGAAGGCAGTGGTAAGAGCAGTAAGATGCTAAGTTCATCTGTTTTCAGTGCTGAGTCAAAACAAGTACTGATCTCTCCCTACTCACCAGAACTGAATTTGTCTATTTTCTTCCAGGGTGTTTTTGAGAGTCTGGAGGAAAGAGTAGGAGCTCCTCAGTAATAAAGCCTGGGGATTAGACAGGTTTTTTAGCACAATTGTCATGCTAATTTGTGGGCTGGCATAATGGGACTCATATGTTGGTAGATAATGAAGACGGAACATACCAAATCTGTTTTTTTTTTTTTTAACGAGGTTGTTCATTTGTGTGCCTGCATATGTTTCTGTGCTTCTTTGTTTCTTACTATCTAACATACTTTGAAGAGCAGAGGAGTCTAGTCAGTCCTCGATGTTTGCAGAGTAATGCAGAAATCTGAGAAATGAGCCTTTGGGATGGAAAATGTATCTTTTTGTTTAGCTTCCTTGGCTATTGAATGAATAACATGAGTTCACAAATGGGAAACCCTGGGTTTAATTGCCATGCCAATTAAAATTCTGCATGTTGCTTAGGTAAGAAATCAGTTCCCATATGGTGGGTCATCACTGCAGACTGTCTTCAAAGTGAAATTAGTTCGAGCTCTTTAGCTTGTCACTGTGGGCCCCGAGTAAAAGCATTCCTGTGCTGCCACTGGGAGAGCTCTGTTTCCCAAGGAACTTCTGGGCTATTTCAACAGAAACAACTGGAAAGTTATTTGCTTCAAGTTCTTGTCATTGACACCTCTCACATGTCTTTTTTTATTCTTATCCATTTCAATGAAATGTAGGTGCCCCCTGAGCAGAACTGTACCATGGAAATGACACAGTTATGACACTGATATTTGTAATAGCTCTTTTTGTTGTGGTCAGCAAATGCTTTAAAAGCTGAACGCGGATAAAGTGTCTGCAGATTTTTCTCTGTCTTGTAGCATACAGCAGAGATTTGAGCCAGTCCAAGAAAAGCCTCTAAAGATAACCAGATAGCTTTGGAAGTCAACATTTGTTCTCTCAGCACTGCTGGCTAACTGTGCAGGTCACACATCTCTGCAAGCAGAGGTGGTGTCCGTCATAATGTAATTCTTGGCACTATTCTGGGACATTAGGTTAATGCTGACTGTGCAAGCCGTGCCGCTAGTGGTACTTTGTCATGCCTGTGTGCCTGTCCTCTGGTGGGGTTACTGAACAAATCTGATGCTGCACTGCTTATCGAGTTTAAGAACATAAACCAAAGTCAACTAGATAGAAACAGAAGTCTTTCTCCGAAAAACTTTGTGGAGGTAATTTGGCTGGGGAAATAAGAGAAGTCTGACATTGCTTAACAATTCTTCTCTATATGTCTCTGTCCCTGACATTGCTGGATTTTTTTCATGGCAGAATATACCAAGATGGCTTACAATTTGGAGAGATGTTTCCACCGAGCAATGATGAAGCACTTCCCTGGGGAAGATGGAGACACGGATGAGGAGTTCTGGATCAGAGAAGATGGGAGGCGGGAGAAGAGGAGCCGGAGGACTGGCCGCTCCAGTGCTGGCAATGTTTGGACTCGGTCACGAGACTCAGAGGGACCAGGCAAGAGGCAGCAACGCCTGGAAAATGGAGGGAAACCTCCACCATATCGAGCTACTTCTAGGGCTCCTGCTTCTTCCTCCTCCTCGTCCTCCTCCTTCTCCTCATCCTCTGCAGAGGATCCAAGTGGAAACGCCATGCAGCCTCCTCGAGAAGTGGGCCCTTCCAATGGGAGAGGTTTCCCTCGCTCGCTGCAGTACGGTGGCATGCCCAGCCCTGTGCCACATCCTGGCCAAATGGTAAGGGGTGGTTTCTGATGATTTTTATCAATCAAACCTGTGGAGGCAGGGAGGGAAAAGAGAAAAAAAAACCTCTGTGGAATGTGGCAAGGATCTTTTCCCAGAGATATGAGAAATCGCACCTCAAAGGGAAACTTTTAAGCCCTGACATCCAACCTGGAACAGTTCAGTCTTACCAGGTCTCCATGTAGTTGGTTGAGGAAACTGGACAGAAAATAGTTACTGTTAATAAGACAGTATATTGAGGCTAGAAGAGTAGCTACTTCAGTAACTGAAGGCTTTTCCAGATTGCTGCCAAAGTAGTTAGGAGTGGTCTTGTAACATTCTATGTCTGCAAGTACCCACATACGTTTGGTCAGCCTCAGCTCCCCCACTTCTATTCTTTCTTTGGAGAGGTACCCCATGCGCATGTAAAGTAGTCACATTTCCTCTTTTAACCTCCAGTTTATGATGCTGAGCAAGCCAGCCTTCTTTTGTCTCAATTGTTTACAGATGCCTGGTAACTTTGTGCCATCTGCGTACTTCTGCATTTCGTGCTTTGAGTATTCATAAAGGCTGTAAACAAAACCACACACAAGGCCACCCTGGGCTGTAGCAGTGACCTCCCTTTAGCCTGATGTTTCTTCTGAGGACCACCTGTTCTGCCTGTTCTATGGGCTGCTCCTTACCCATCCTTCACTGTCTTTTCCATTTTAAACAGTGATGTCTTGTGGTGCAGTGTGACAGCTGCTCCTCTGAGATCCAAGATACCCCTCACTTTTTAGATAGAAATTGAATAGTGTTTTAGGGCCATTCTTGTGATGCAGACAGTGGAAGCCAGTAGGAGAGCTGGAGCCAGCTATTCTTTTGAAAGAAATCCAGCACATTCCCTGTCATTCTACTCATACGCTCCTGTGGTTTGCTCCAAGGAGAGAACACTGTCCCCTCCAGTCGTCTTGTTTACTCCTAAATAGCTGGGAGGTGGGTGAGTGTACCACAGCTTGAGCCTAGGGACACGAGAGAGAGAGAGAGAGTGGGGAACTGTGTCATCTCATGAGAAAGCCTACAGGTTTTTCATGGTATCTCCAAAAAGTTCATCTGCTTTTTTGTGCGGTTCCTTAGATCTTGACTTCTCCATGCTTGAAGCAGTTCTGCTGCCTTTTTACATTTCACAAATGGTTTTATTTCTCTCGCACGCCTCCTCGTCCCCCAGAGACCAGCTGTACCAGGAACATTTGGACCCTTGCGTGGATCAGATCCAACGAAACTCTATGGCTCGCCACGAGTGCCAGAGCCCCATCCTGGAGACCCAGTTCAACAGCACCAGCACTTTGCCATGCAGGTAAAAACAAACAAACAAATGGAGAAAAAAAATGAATAAACAAAACAAAGAAAAACCACCATAGCTTCTAGAAATGCTGCTGTCTGCTTTGCTAATAATAAAACAAAGGTGCTTTGCAGGTCCCCTTTGCTCCCCTTGGTGCCTCTCTTCAGAGCACACCGGTGATGGTGCTTACCCACCTTCCTCCAACTGATACTCAGCCACTCTCTTTCCTTCCCCAGCCTGCCGTGGGACTGAGCGAGCACCGAGGGCACAGGCTGGCCACCCCTGAGAAGCAGGTGTGTGCAGGGCCGACCCACATTGCTGGTCTTGGATCCCGTCCCAGCGCCTTGCAGCTAGGGTGCATGAGTGGACCCCCTCCCGACGCCGTCTACTCACCAGCGCAGTTCCAGCAGGGATTCCTTCCTCCCAGGCACAACGGGCCTCCAGTGAGGCCACCAGAGGGTTCCGAGATGCCACCAGGACACATGTACCGGCCCTACAAGTACCTGAACCGCGGGCACCCTGCCCTGTGGAATGGCAGCCATGGAGCCAGCAGCCAGAGTGCAGTGGGGCCGGAGGAGAAGGCACCCATGGGGCCGGCGCCCTCGCTCCAGCCCCGCACCATTGGCCATATGATGGAGCCCCGGGCCATACGGCCACCTCTGCCTCCCAGCCAGTGGACTGAGCAATCAAACTTTCTACCTCACGGGGTGCCTCCCTCAGGGTATATCAGACCACCTGGGAAAACTACCAGCCAGAGAATGCCGCAGTCACCAGCCGCTCTTTTTGGGGGACCGCCTCAGGTTCAAAGAGGGTGCCAGGGTGGGGACTCCATGATGGACAGCCCAGAGATGATCGCCATGCAGCAGCTGTCATCCCGTGTGTGCCCGCCAGGCGTGCCTTACCACCCTCGCCAGCCACCCCCACCTCACCTTCCCGGGCCCTTTCCCCAGCTGGCTCACGCTGCTTCCACTGGCGTGCCACCCCCAAAGCCTGTCGTTGGGAATGGGAGCTCACAGGATCAGACCATGGAGCCGGAGAGCAACCAAGGTAACTTCCCGTGGCACTGACCAGAGGCCACACAGCAGCTTTTCATCTGTCCTCGCTGCTGCTAGAGGCTCTGGATGTAGAGGATGCAGCCTCATGGATCCTTCTAGCTGTAGATGTCTTTGTTCATTGCAGGGAAGTTGGATTAGAAGACCTTTAAAGGTCCCTTCCAACTCAAATGATTCTATGATTTTTGTGCCTTTGGGGAGCAAGGAGCTGTGCCCAGTGGATGGGCATTCACAAGGAGTAGCTCTACTGCTCTAAACTCTTGGTGTACCAACCTTGTGTTGCCAATGCACAAAACCTGTATCTGTAGATGTGGTTTTATTCAAACTTGCACCACTAAAGAAGAGGGAAATATTTTTTTCAGACTCACCGGAGTCTGGCAGAGGCTTGGCAGCAAAAGCAAGTTTTATTCTAGAAAAGAATTAAATTACTGATCAAATAGTTGTGGGGCACATCATTTGTATACATACTTTTTCTTTTATATATTTTATATATTTCCTGCTCCAGCCATCACTTAGGTTTTCCTAAGATTTTTCGTCTCACTGTAGCCTGCCAGAGATCCCCTCCTTCCCAGTTATACCTGCAAGTTATCAGTTTGCCTTTGGGTGCAAATGCAAAGCACAGTCTGTGGTGCTTCTTACAGCTCACTTGGATTTAATATAAAAATTGAGTCTGCAAAGAGTTAGGTAAGGAGAGTAAATGTTGTGTGAGTAAATGGTTTAAATACACTTCTTTGAGTATCTGTCAGTATGACTTCTCTGAAATGCACATGTGCCTCATGAGCTTAACGTCTCAATATCTTCACAGAGGAGGAGTGCCAGCAAGGCGCTGAGCAGCCATATCAGTTGAGATGGGATGGCAACGTGTCATATGTGCCACCACAAGTTTCTTTCTAGTGGAATTTCATTCACTCTAACTGGTAATCTGGAGATCAAAAAACTCTTAAACCTAAAGTAGAGATCAAAAAACCCTAGAGATCAAAAACAAATATTTCATTAATTCTAGCTGGTAAACTAGAGATCAAAAACGTTGTATTTTTATCAATGCCTTGTGTGGCTTACAGTAAGAGGAAACTCTTTCCTTGTGTGGCATTGCTTAAAACTCATCATCATTTAGCTGTGCTAGATATAGAACAGAGACTGGGAGAGAACACTGGGTGATTTCAGAGCAGGGTGGCCACATATTCAAGTTTTGATGCGGTCTGATAGTGAATAGGACAAGGGGGAATGGCTTTCAATTAAAAGATAGGAAACTTAGGTTAAATATTAGGAAATAATTCTTTACTCAGAGTGTGATGAGGCCCTGGCACAGCTGCCCAGAGAAGCTGTGGATGCCCCATCCTTGGAGCTGTTCAAGGCCAGGTTGGATAGGGCAGTGGGCAGCCTGCGCTGGTGGGAAGTAGCCAGCCCATGGCAGGGGGTTGGAGCTCTATGATCTTTAAGGTCCATTGCAACCTCAGCCTTTCTATGATCTTCAAATCACAGTTGGTTAAAACATGGTTGTGATTGGCTTCACAGTACCTTGGTAGTTGGGGTAGAGTGGCAGTGCTCTTGCCCAACTGCAGGTAAGCAGGGTTTGTGGCCCCGAAGGGGCAATACAACCTGAAATCAAAAAAGCCCCAGTTTTTAGCTCACTCTCTTGGGGAACATGCAGTGTTTTCCAGTGCTGCCTTTCTGTGAGGCAGCCTCTGCATGCTCATCTGTCAGACCAAAGCCATGTGTGCCATGTTACTCTGACAGTGATTTGCTGTCTACACTAGGGTTGTATCTTAATGGAAATTATAAGGATTCAGTTCACATATACCATCTTTCCCAGTGAGGTGTGCAGCCTCATGAGTAGTATTTAAAAAAACAAAAACAAAAACAAAAAAACAAAAAAAAACTCTTGAAAGAACGAGCTCTTAAAAGGTTGCCCAACTTTGCAAAAGTGCCCTTTGGGATTTCTAAGGGTTTGTGAAAGAAGAGCTTTCCGTTGGCTGTGGGAGGAAGGCTGCAGCCCCACAGAGCTCACATTTACCCTCGTGCTGTGCTCTGGCCATGATGTGAATAGAGTTGAGTAGAGGAATGAGATATTTTAGGCTCTGAAGTACTTTGAAATCTCTGATGGGAACCGTCCTTGTGGCTTTAGAAAGTCACTCCCCTTCCTTTTGCACAGTTCAGCACCTTGGGGTACTTTCTCCAACCAAATGTTGAGGATCTGTTAGAGCTACCCCTCGAGTTTTTGCTGTGGCTTTGTGTCAGCAGCCATGGAGAAGAGAAACACATCATGAATGAGGCTGCTGTTCTCTCTGCCAAAAGTAGGCCCTGGGAGGTTGTTTTGGCTTATCTGGCTCAGCTGACAGGAATTACTTTTTGGCAAATTTGCTTTGGGTGAGCATGGGCATGGGTGTGGGTTCAGGAGGGCTGCCTTCCAAAACAAGACCAGCACCTGACATTTACACCCTCTCTTTCCAGTGGAGCCACTGACAGGCGTGGAGGAGAAGGCTCAGTGCATTGGCATTCCTGACAGGGCCTACGCCAAACTCCTACCTCATCCCAAGCCCCCCCTGCCCATGGAGTGTGCCCGGCGCAACCTGCCCCCAGATGGGGAGGGAGATGGCTCCAGTCTGAAGAGTGATCTGAAGGCCAACCAGAGCAAGGGCACGTGGCCGGCCGAGAGCAGCTATGCCGGCCCAGGTGCCCAGGGGTGCATGAGGGACCTGGCATCCACCCCTGAGCGAGGAGGACCCGTGTCTGAAAACGGGGCAGCGGGCGAAGGGCCGGCAGAGAGCAAGGGGTTGGCTGCCAGCCTGATGGAGAAGCCCCTCTGCAGTGGGGGGAAGGCTCTGCCCGAAGCGGCCGTGCCTTGCATGGGGCAGGGCACCAGCCTTCCCACCATGGATGCTGGCACCGTGGGAGCTGCCCCCAACCAGTTCCACCCTCTCTACATGCCAGGTCTAGAGTACCCGAATTCAGCTGCTCGTTACCACATCAACCCGGGGCTGCAAGGGTTCAGCCCAGTAATGGGTGGGAAGCCTCCCCCAGTGTCCCACCCACAGCATTTTCCTGCACGGGGCTTCCAGCCAAGCAGTGCCCATCCTGGGGTCTTCCCTCGCTATCGGCCCCACCAGGGCATGCCCTACCCCTACCAGCCCCAGCCTCAACCTTCTTACCACCACTACCAGCGGCCACCCTACTACGCCTGTCCACAGGGCTACTCGGACTGGCAGAGGCCTCTTCACCCCCAGGCCAGCCCCAGCGGCCACCCGCCCCTGGCCAGACCCCCTTTCTCTGACCGGGGGAATGTGAGCAGCTTGCAGGGCTGCGAGGCACTGAGTGCTGCCCTGGCTTCTCCCAACCGCATGGACGTAGTGAGTGCCAAAGAGGTTTCTCCAAGCGACGGGCAGGATCTGGGGCCTGAAGATGAGAAGTCTGAGGAATCCCAGGAGCGGCCAGAGAGTCCCAAAGAGTTCCTAGATTTGGACAACCACAACGCGGCCACGAAGAGGCAAAGCTCGGTGGCAGCAGGAGAGTTTCTCTACGGAGCTCCCCCACCTCACCTGGGTTCAGGAATGGGCTTTGGGCCATCAGCTTTCCCTCCCCACGGGGTGATGCTACAGACTGGCTCTCCCTACACATCCCGGCATCCTGCCGGTCATTTCCAGCCTAGGACGTATGGATCACCCATGAATACTCACCTGTCTCATCATCCAGCCCCTGGCCAGGCTAACGGCCTCTCTCAGGAGGGACCCCTGTACCGCTGCCGGGAGGAGAACATAGGTCACTTTCAGGCCTTGCTGATGGAGCAGAGAGGCAGTGGAGGTGGCATGGGGGGGCCACCCCAGGACTTGTATAGACCATCGGGGTAAGAGCATGTTTTCTGTGAGAAGGTGAGGTGGGAGGGAACGATGCCTGGGTGGCAGCATGTTTTAGGTATCCTTGAAAGGCCCAGATTGAAGTCTCAGGCACTATGGAGGCCTAACAGATGGCTCTTGGGCCCTTAAACATTTCTGTGAGCTGCAGAGTCTTATTGCAGCTTTTTAAAACAAGTAATATTAGCTATCATGGAGACCTGTTAGCTTGTCCTGTCGATCTCCACATCAGGGCCTTGCTTTATCTGATGGTATTTTGCTAATGTGTTGTCTGGTGTTGTGCATCTCTTAATCAAAAGGTCTTTTAAAATTTTCTTTGCAAGAATTTTATTTGATCTATTCATAGTGGAGGGAGTAGCTAACTGAAGTGGAAGTTAGCCTTGTTATGAAGTCTGTTTCAGTGTTTCTGTGTGAGTGGTGCATGTATGCAGTCACCCAGGTAGATGGGGTTTATCCTTGATGTTCATGTGCTAAAACTCTCTTCATTAAACCTGACTACAGAATGCAAATGCATCAGGCTCAAGTTCCTTTCCCGAAGATGCCCACAGCAACCATGTCTCGAGAAGATCTGACGCCACAGAAATCATCAGCGTTGCCTCTGGATCAAGTAAGGGCCACCAAGGAGAGCAAAGCTCAGATGAGAGCCTTTTTTTACTCTGCCAGTTAAAGGAGTGAAAGTATTTGCTAGCAGTGGGAAGCATTGGAGGAAGCTGGGAAGTGAGCTTACTGATAGGCAGAGGAGCTGGAGATGTCTGTTTTGTCATAGTTGACTGTGCTGGCTTGTTGACTATCTGTCAGCCCAGGTAGTGCCAGCTTTGAAGTAATAGCATGAAATTGTGAGGTTGCTCCTTTCTAAGGCTGCTAGTTGAAGGTCTCCAACTCCTCTCTTTCTTCTTCCAGAGCTAGTCTGAGGAAGGAAGGACCTCACGAAGACGAAAGCCACACGTAATTTGGACAAAGGGGAGGAGGGGCAGGCCTTCCTCCCACCCTCTCCTCACCCAAGCAGCATGTAGCTTTCCGGGTCCACGAATCACAGCATCTCGACAGCGTTTGTGCTGGAATCCCGGAGCAGTGCTGGGCCCCAGCCAACCGGCCGAGCAGCCGGCTTGCCAGCGCAGGGCGAGCATCGCCAAACTAGTGGCTTTCTGTGACTGGAGACTGCGTCTTGTTCAGGGTTTGAGGGATTTTGGGGTGGGGAGGGAGGGGGTGGGGACTGGAACTTTCATTGACTGCTAAACTCAGGTATATTTTTCAGGGTGGAAGAGGACGATGATGGAATTTTACTTGTAGTATTAACGTGTGTGTTTTGGAGCTGGATCCAGTTTACAGAATTTAACCTGTTGCCTTTTTAAATAAATTTCTGTTGTTGGTGAATGTATTGTACATAATGGGGGAGGGGGTGGGCCCAGCTTGTAGTGGGCTTAGCACTGGAGGAATCTGTTTACAATCATATCACACTGAAGTCTTTCAGGATAGGGTGAGGGTCTGGGGGAGCGGGGAGAGGTCAGGGAACATGCGATGAATGACTTGCTGTCCTTTGCAGCTGTGTTGCCACCCGATAGTTGTTTGGCTGAGTATCAGGAATTGCTCAGGAGCATAATGTGTCCTCCTCTTTCTCTTCTCCTCTTCCTCCTTCACTCTCACCCCTGCCTCTGCCTCTCCAGATCCAGGGCCTGACTGCACTTCCAGTTCCTGTCATCATGGGGGAACAAGGAAACCAGGACCAGGAATTGAAACCAGCACAGGATGCTCACAGAATTGTCCCTTCTGCTAGCGTAGTACCCCTCTTGCTGCCTTTCTCATAGGACTAGTTTGTGCTCATGGAAACAAGAAAGGGCACAGTTGGTCATCTTGAACTTCTTTTGATGAAACCAGTGCTGCTGAGTGTGGAGCAGCACCTATCCCACAGATCAAGTGTTGTACAGGGCTGTATTCCCTGCTGACAAGGAGGGGAACTGCATCCCTCCTTAGTTTCTCTGTCCTTTGCTATATTTACCTATGGGCAGCAGCAAAGCAGAAAGTAAGCTGAGATCCCTGACATCTCAGTTGCCTGTGGAAGTAGGAGCATGAGGTTGGTTTGAGGGAACAGTTTGCTACAGTGTGAGCTGTTTGTTGGCCTGAGGAGTTGGGTTTGGTTACAGCAAGTAGGGTGATTCAGAAAGCACTGATTTGAAATCCAGAGTTGTTGGAATGGCTCAGGCAGTAAGAGACAAAAGAGCTGTGTGCTCGAATGGAGTCTGTTCTTCTCCATCTTTGATGCTGTAGTAGCAAGTACCACAGGCTGGTGGCAACTTCCCTCCAAGTCAATATACAGTCTGTAGGGACTCTCCACCAGCAATGGCACTGCATGGAGGAACCCCTGTGCCCCAGTCAGACACTGAAGTTCAAGTATAGGTTTGACAAATAAGTTGCTTAGAAATCTCATCTGCAGGCATGCATCCACATTAACTATGTTAAAACTAACATAGCTGAATGTTTTTGGGAGAGCTGGAGCAAAGCCAGGTAGAGTTGCTACACTGCAAGTCTGGGCAGAAAGATCTGCTGGATCACATCCCCAGTATGGGCTGCAGTTGGCATTGAAGGGACAATGGTGTAATTAGGACATGCCATTGTGCCTGCCAAATTGTGGTAGCAGAGGTGAACTTGTGAGGACAGAACAGCATGCCCTGGAGTCTGCAGTACCAGCCTGGGAAGGGTTTCTGGCTTCAGGTTTCTGGAAAATTTTTCTGACTGTGTTGTCATCTCAAATGGTGCCGGCCATCACCCATATTAGCTGGGTTGCACCAGCATGCATGGCCACACCAAGCCTAACAGGAGTTAAACTTCTTCCTGCTAGTCTCACAGGTGTGTTTATGAGACTGTTCCTTACTCAGTGCTTCAGCCAGCAGCACTGCAGCTGCTCTCTGTTCTGGCTCCTCCCCAGAGGAAAACTTTGGTATGAGAATGAGCTTAAGTGTAACCACTGTTCAGGACAGCGAGCTTAGGACAAATGAAGAAACAGTTGCTTCTCTTTTTAACACAATCTTTAGTTCTCGTGGTTCATTTTCACTAAAAATGGAGGCTCTGTAAAGTCTAACTTAGAGTAAAGTATTTGAAATGCTGGGATCATGAATGCGTGTTCTGCAAACAACCCTTGCTATACTTCAGCCTGTGTCTTCTGCGTCACGGATGGTTACCCAGACACTTGAAGTGCCTTTCAGCTCATGGTGAACTTTGTGGAATAGGAGGTTTTAGATGCTATAAAAAAAAAAAAAAAAAGCCAAAGCACTCTTGATCTTCAGCTGGAACTGACACTGAAAATGCGGTTCTAGGGGGGTCACAGCATCTGGATGGGTGCCAATCCAAGGTCAAAACAGGAGGAATAGGGAAGGCAAGGGTTGCTTGTGGTCTGCCTGGAGAGAAGGTAAAAAGGAGAGTTAGCCAGTGATAGATACCCCTAGGATACTATATGGAGTATGAAGAGTGCTGTCCCTTACCTGGCAGGGTTGAGTGGGTTTCTAAGTAAATGGCTTTTGATGTAGTTGGTAATTCTGATGAAAGTGACTGACAGAAGTTGCTACTGGGGGGACACATGGTTTGTATTAGGAAAGTGCTTATGTAGCACAGGGGGAACAATGGCTGGACTACAGGGATATCCTAGGGACAGGGCATGCTCACATCACGTGTTGCTTGTGGAACCTTAGTTCTGAGTTTCCAGACTGAAATACTTTGCTCAGAAATGTTTGTGGGTTGTGTTTGGGTTAGATTTTGGCTTTTTTGTTGTTGTTATTTTGTGATGATATCTAAGCACACCCCCTTTCCCCCCCCAGAATTGGAGTTCTATCTCGCTGGGTACAATCTGAACAAATCACTGAAAATTTGCACCTTCCAGAGACTGAGAGCAGTTAGTGGGGTGGGACAACAGCAAAAGTACACAGAGAGAAGCAGAAAATAAGATTTTCATTGTTTCTGGTCTCCCACCTATGCTGTGTGGGCTGGTTTGTAGATATTGTGGAAGGGACAGATTTAACGAGGGATTTAGAATAGAGTAAACCAGCAGCTCTTTAGGTACAAGCTGAGGCTTTTTACCTTAAGTTGGTGTACAGTGCTGAAGAAAAGTAGCTGCATTTTTAAAATATCCTTTGATTATTGTATTCACGTTACTCGAAAGACTTCTCAACAGAGTAGAGGAAAATTCTGGAATCTGATGGGAACCTCCTCTTTCTCATCCTCTGCAGTGCTGTAGTACAGTATATTACCAAGTGAACCTTTTTCAGAAGGCATATTGGGCAAGTGACTTTGCAAAATTTCCTGTAGGTATTATTTTTTTCATATGAAATACATGTTTTGTAATTATAGATGTAGGTCACTCTGAAAATAATGCCTCCTATTTATTTCCTCTCTTTTCCTGCATGGAGGAATTCAATTCTGTGCTTCTGCTTCAAACACACTTCCATGTCAGATGCCATTCTGTCAGACTGCCCCTCTGCTGCCATCTGTCACACGGCAACAAAATGTAACAGAATATTGGTGGGAGGGTTCAACCTTTACTGCTGTACCATCAACTCTGGTGTTGTGGGCCAGCAGAATAAAACAGGAGGCATTACTTTCAGAGCAGCCCTTGTACGTGTCGAGCAAGATTGCATTATAGAACACAGTGCTGAGCATGCCAAAATCTCCTACTGCTCTTGTGGTACAAGTGGCACATGGTGCTCAGTCCCACTCTAAATGCAGTTGTATCATCATCTGCTGGGACTCTGGGAACTTTTGGCATCTTCAACACCATGGGGCCCTGGCAATTGAACCAAGTATTTTGGGAAGATCAGTAGCTGAGGGTTCACAGGGATCTGAGCCATGTCCAGCAGAAGTTTGCAGTCTTTAAATGCCATGGTGTGACCAAAGTGTGTGGTGGCAAGCCACGGCACCAGCCTGCAATGAGAAGGACAAAAGAGGAAAGTAAATTTGAAGTTTCAAGGCCTGGCTGGTTTGATCTGTGACTTTAAAGTACACGAAGACTCTTTTCTTGGAATGGCTTCTAGTTCTTTCTCATCTGCTGAATGCCTTTCCCATGCAGAATTCTGAAGCAAGTCTCCTGTGTGTATTTTTGTACGTGTGGTTTCTCGGGGTCTTGGAGAGCTATCAGCTTCTTGATGTCTTATCTGAAAGCTCATCACAGGGGCTGTCTCTCATTCTGCTGACTGAGGCAGCTTCTCTCTCTTTACAGCAACACTTCTCCATTTAAAATGAAAGTATAATGAGAGAACGACCCTCATTTGTCTGCTCCACTGATGGCTGTCAGCTTTCTGTGCGTTCTGTACTTACATGCAGTGTCTGAGAGACCATGGGCGCTTTGTAGTTTTAATGCTGATGGCCTTGTGTCCACTTGGGCTTTTTCTCCTTGTTCGGCAGCAGTGAAGATTTGGCACAGGTCTTCCTCCTTCTAAAATGTGGATGTCAGAGGAGAGTGCATGCAGGAGAGAGCCATGACTGCATTCAGCGGTGGAAAGGGAGACGAGGGACTAATTAGGGCTAAAGAATTATTGGGATTGTCACCAGCTCAAGAAGGTCTCTATCCATTTCTTTTATTTGTTTGGAAACACATGGCTCACTGGCAAAAGAGCAGTAATTGGGAAATCAGCACCTGAGTAGAAGTGGGACTGACCGTGGGCAGTTTCCTCACTGTGGGCAACATTGGGCCAGGGGCTGCCAGGGACTCTTTGGGCCTTCCAATCCATACAGGGCAGGTGGAAGTTGTGCAGCAGCCTCCTCCTGTCCCAAGGCAGTCAAGCAGCTGCAGGAACCAGGGCATGGGCTTTTGCTTTGTGTCATGCACCAATGCTTCCCTTCTCCTTGCTGCCTAGTTTTCAAGCTCCTTTCCTCTGTGCTTCACCATTGCTGTCAGATGCAGAGACAAGAGCTCACTGTCTGTGGAGGGGCAGAAGGTTCAGCTCACCAGCTGTCTTCTCTGCATACGCAGGCAGAAAGCAGGCAGGGAGTGCACATCACCCTCCCTGTGACATCAAGGTGTCCTTGGCATCCTGCAGTGCCCTCCTATCCGCTGGGCTCGCTGTGTGATACTGGGTGCCATCCCTCTGCCAGGCACCATTGCAGAATGGGACCTGCTGTGTCTACCTCTGTGGTAGCTTTGGTTAACAAAAAATGCTGCGTACAGCCCAGAAAACTGTTACCTCTATTCCTTGGCAATCTCAGTGAGCACTGCTGCCTGATTTCCCTGAGTGATAGTAGTGTGCAGCAGTGCAGCTCCAACCTTCCTGTGTCATGGCAGGGAGGGGATGGCTCCAAACTACACTGCAGAGCTTCAGGATGTGGCTGGGAAGCGAAGTGCTTCCTGCAGTCCTGTGTGTCCTCACTGCCACATGGCTGCTTTCCCAGTGACCGAAGGTTTGGTTTAGGTCAGGAAAAGAACAATTGGAGCTGAGTCTGGATTCAGGACTGGCAGGAGGGGGTGCCTGTCATTGGCATGCCCTGACTTTGTGCCTCTGGATCAGGGGAGCTGTCTGGCTTGGCACTGGGAGTGGGAGAGCCAATGCTACTGCATCCATTTTCTGAAGTTGGGTGTTGTTGGGTGGGGTTGGTTTGCTTTGTCGTTTGGGTTGGGTTTTTTTCTTTTGTATTATTGTAAGTTTGTAAAGAATGTAATCTGTCTGTTGGGAGCACAAGGAGGACACGGGGGCCGTTCTCTTTCTGGATGAGACTGTTCATGAGTTGCTGTGTGTTTTGGTGCTGGGTGGGGAGGGGCCCAGCAGCCATGGGGGCAAAACCCGGCCCTGTCAACCCATTGCGACTGTCATGGGCAGCAGGAGGGTGAGCCGGTGCTGGGCAGCAACCTCCCAGCCTGAGTGTGGAAAACCTGCTCATACCCTCAGGTGGGGGGATCTGAGCATGCAGGGCTCTGTAAAGGCCTCTCCTGCTCAGGGCTGGTCCCACTCATCCTTGGCGAGGGTAGCAGCTGAGCTGCCCAGCTGCTGAGCAAAAGGAGGCTGAAACCAGCAGCCCGAATTTCTTGGTGCAAGAACAAATTTGAGCCACAGCTGCCACCCTGCGCTGGCCCTCGTGCCCGCCTCCCTCCCCATCCCATAGAGCACAGTGTCAGGGATCCTCCTCTCTCCTGCTGCTGCAAGGTCGTGTGAACTTTCCTGGTCAATACTGGAAAGGGGAATGCTATTTATTTTTATATTGTGTATATTTTGTCTTGGTCTGCTGATTACCTTTGTTCCCCAGAGCGACAGTTACCTCAATAGTTAGTTTAATACTGTGTGTTGGGTAATTTTTTTAAAGAACTTTTTTAAAAGCTTGATCCTTGGAGGTCTGTAGATTTTATTTCCATATGAATTGGTTATTTTGTATAAAGTACGTTCTTAAAATAGCAATCTCCCTGCCTGCGGTGTGTTTTCTCGTCTCCCTTTGCAGGGGCAGCGGGTGGGCCGGGTGGGGAGCACACAGGCGAGGCCAGGGCTGGACAGGGCCACGCTGCCTGTAATCCATTTCTTTCCAACACAGGGAATCGCTACATGCCCGCCTGGGTTGGCACTGCTGAGAGCTCCCTCTGTCCCCAGCAGGCTGCTAACAGATGCTGCTGCTCACATCTCCTGCCCAACAGCCTCCTCGGGCCCATCTGCCCTCCCACAAAGAGGTGCACACAAAGGACCCCGTGCTCACAGGCCAGAGGAAGACATCTTTCCTGCTGCTGTAGCTCTTCTGTTCCTCTCTGTGTCAGGCTGCCAGCAAGGATAGGAAAATGAGCCAAAGCAAATGAACTGGCCAAGAGTTGATGGTGACTCCTAGTGTGTCCCTGCTCCGCGGGTGGCTTGGAAGCCCCAGGGCTGACTTTGCTTTCTGTCACATCTCCTCTCACGCCCAGAGTGATGAGAGCAAGCTGTCCAATTTAGGCTGGGAGGAATGCGGCTGCTGCTGCAGTCCCAGGAAGCGTGGGTCAGGGGCTGGCGGGGCACTGCTCCTCATCCTTGGGCGCTGATGCTAATTGGAACCAGTCCTGGGGGGGACATCACTCAGAGCCCTGCAGCTGCAGCCAGGACAAAGCCCATCTGTGCTGAGAAGCTGCCATGACCCAGACTTGGCAGGATGCTGTCAGTAGCCCCATGGGCAGCAGCAGGCCGGCCACATACCCCGCCTTCCTCACCTTCCTTCTTAATATCTGTGGCACCAGTCTCATATCTCCCCTTCCCACCGTGGATCAGGAAACCTGGTCCTCAGAAAGAGCTTTTTCTGATGGTTTAAACTCCTGTCCTCCTTTCTAACCTCCTTTTCCCCACAAACTAGGATGCTTGCCTCTCTTTTGTCCAGCCCTATCATGGCAATCAGCAGCTTGTCCCTGCGGGTGTGGATCAGGGGTGGCTGGACTCAAATCGATTGAGTGCCGTGGGGATCAGCTCAGTGCATGGAAACAAATGGCTGCTCCCACAGAGAGCTCTGGCATGGGATTTGCATCAACAGTACAGGATAGCTTTGCTAGAGCTAACAGGCAGCATGCCCTTGGAGTGCCCAAGGAGGAAGGAAGAAATGGAAATGGTGTTTCCCCATGGGTGAAGCTTCCAGTCCCAAGGAAGCTGCGTGTTCCCAGTCTGGTGCCTGCTGCTCCTCTGTAAATTCCTTTCCCTGTGCGACTGCCAGCATGGTGGGATCACAAAAGTTCACCCCCTGTCATGACTGCACAGCTCCTTCCGGGGCCAGTGGGCACAGGTTGTTTGCAATTTCCTTAGGCCGTGACCTTTGTTTTGGCCGTGGCAGAGGAGAATCCATCCATCACCCTGCTGGGACTGGGGGCTGGGGCAGGGCCACATCCTGCGTGGCCCCACAGGGAAAGGCCTGGGCAAAACAGCTTTGCTGCTGCTACGGTCCTGCCTGCTGTGGGACATTTCCAAGCCATGGGACTTTGTGTTTCATTAGGAAAATAAGCAGCAAGCCATATCCCTACCCCAGGATGCAGCTCCCACAGGTGCCTGCCTCCACACTTGGCTTCCCAAGGGGAAATCCATCCCAGCACTGCTGGGGTCTCCCCTTTGAAGACGTCCCTGCATACAGAGTGGCGTTCCCTGAGGACATGGTCTGTGCACACTGGGCAGCCCTGCAACCATTGGCTGCCTGCCCTTCTCTGATCTCCGCTTCCCCAGGGAGAATCGTCCCAGCATGCTTCTTGGCCTCCAAACACAGATTCCCCTGGGAAGCAACCCATTCTGTGCTCAGTACGGAGGCTTTTGGGACATCACACCGCCCATGTGTAACTCTAGCCACGGGCTTCCAGCACCCCAGTGCCTGCATGCTGACTTTCAGGCCGAGCACCATGCCCTTGGCTCCCAACATGCACCCTGGCCTGTCTCACACACACTTCACGCCATTTCCCACCATGCCAATGGCTGCTCAGGGCCATGGGAGCAGCAGGATTGGG